TCAATAAATTAAGTATTTTAATTATTTTTGAAAAAGAAAAAACTTTCAGAAATTTTATCGAAGATTCTGTTCCGTAAACATGTAGCATTTCTGAGTATTTTAATTATTTTTGAAAAAGAAAAAACTTTCAGAAATTTTTATCGAAGATTCTGTTCCGTAAACATGTAGCATTTCTGCAGTTAATTAGATTTTGATCCATAAAATTTTAGCGTTGTCTTACCTTAATATGGAGCCTTAGGCAGCTCTATTTTACATTTGAATTTTTAAAGTTATATCAAATTATCAGTAAATTAAATCAATAAATTAAGTATTTTAATTATTTTTGAAAAAGAAAAAACTTTCAGAAATTTTATCGAAGATTCTGTTCCGTAAACATGTAGCATTTCTGCGGTTAATTAGATTTTGATCCATAAAATTTTAGCGTCGTCTTACCTAAATATGGAGCCTTAGGCAGCTCTATTTTACATTTGAATTTTTAGAATAGATTCTGTAAAAAGTGCAAAATTATTTATTTAGAATAAATGTAGTTGAAAATGAGTTTTAACATATAGAACTCAAGCTTGTGTTTAATTATATTTCAATATCATTCAAATATTTGGTTGTCTAAGATTTTTTTAAGTCGAAGCACATCATTTAGATGAGGTAGTTTAACATGATATCAGAGCATTTGCATTTTTGAGTTCAAGTATTGCAGTCACCCATTAATAGAAATTGTGCAAGTTTCAAACCTTCAAATAAAAATAAGAATAATAATATATAGTCCCACTGGAGTTGCAATCTCAGTCTATATGGTACTAGATGATTGGTTAAATGAAGGTGAAATTAAATGAGTTAGTTAATTCTACCTTTCAATTAATACCACAGTAACGCCATTTAGAATGAGGTTGCAATCCCAGTGAGGCTAAATAACATTACTCTACTGTAGCGAAAATCCCTAGATAAATCTTGATTCCGGGCTCAGAAAACAATTAAAAGAACACCAGTTTACCTCGACTCGACCCGAGACTTTCGCCTTCACTTTGGACTGACCAGACTCTCTCAAGACCCCACAAAAGGAGAAGGTTGATGGTGTTAGCAATCCACAAAGGTATGAAGAGGAAGAAGAAGATATCGCAATGGTTGAATCTTACTCACAACCTCACATGGCTTTCCTCTCTCTCGGCTGCCTCTCTTCTCTCAACTATCCTCTCCATTGCTACAACACACACCCCAAAATGGCTGGGAGATAAATACATATATATAGATTAGTTTAGACCACCAAATATGGGCCAAGAGATCTCTAAGTGAGCTGCCATATAACCTAAACTAATGGACCAATTTCCAACTCTATATTAATCACCAAATGGTCTAACTAACCAAATAATCATCCAACCCAAACCTGAACCATCCAAAAGTGTAGTTCGTCTCCGAGCCGAGCCAAGTCCATGGTGTCGATAAATAATTCGACAACTGTTTTAAATCATCGCCCGGATTATTGAGTATCAAAAAACACAACACTCTAGTAAATATGTTCAGCACGTAAGAAGCTTGTGTTGAAGACATATTAAAAATAAGAAAGTTTGTTCTATTTTCAACGGTTTAAACTTTAGATAATAGGGAGCAATATGATTGTAAATTAGCTTATATAAGTGAAAAACCTATCGTTCAACCCAACTAACACCTAGAGGGGGATGAATAGGTGTTCTTGCGGAATTAAAAACTTTTTGAATAATTCATGCAACAAGTCACACAAATTATAATTTGTCCAGATTAATTCACGTGCTTTATCTACCTATGTTGGATTACCATTGATAAGTAAATAAATTAAAGCGGTAAAAACACAATAAACATGTTGACGGAGAAACCCAACTGGGTAAAAACTCCGGGACAAGCCAGTAGAGATTCACTATTGTAGAAACCAACTTACAGCACGCCAGACATCATTGACACTCTCAATTTTCTGACCTCCTTGCTGTATGAACTCAAGACCCTCCTGGATTTTGCAAATCCGTGCTAAATCCCAGCCTTGTATAATTTCTACCTCCCGTGAATCGCCATGCACTCCAGCTCTTCAAGCAAATCCTTCTCGGATCTTCAAACTGATGATCTTCTGGAAGTTTAATTGGAGTTGTGAGACAGGTGTTTTGGGGTTTATGGATTTTATGTTTTTACTCAACAAGCCAAGGATTGGTATGAGAACAATGAAGGATTTCTTTGGCTTTTGATCCTTAGAGAGAATGATTTGGATTTTTGGTTGCCAAGGAATTGAAAGAATATTCAAAGTGTTTTCAATGTGAATTTTTCGGGTTGATGAACACGAATGGGATGTTTGGTATATATAGAGGTTGATATATGGTAATGTGGAGTGTCAAACATTCGCGAGCGTTTAAAATTAGAATTGGCTAGGTAACACGGTCGCTCGAGCGAGGTACTGGCGAGCCTCGAGCGATGTACCTTTCGCTCGAGTGACGGCTCAGCGTGAATCCAGCGAAGTTGGTTCTGCAATTGTGGCTCGAGCGAGGTCAGGGCGAGACTCTAGCGAAATCAAAGCGCCGCTTGCATCTTCGAGGCATCCCACACAACCCTAGACCTAGCCTATAAACTTTAGTTAATTGCAACTCTAGTCCCTGAACTATTGGACATTGACAATTTGGTCCTTGACTTTACAATTTTGACAATTTGGTCCTTGGTCACAGATTTGCCAATTACATATTTTCCTAACAATCTCTCCGTTTGGCATTCTGTGACAAAAACACATTTGACAGTCAAGGATAAAAAACAAATTGACTCCAAACTACCAATCTATTCTATCACATCAGCAATGTCAGAAATTTATAACAAATGTGAAAAAATTAGAAACTTACTTGGCAGATGAAATGCTGAAACGCTTCCCTGGCTGGCGTTGCCGGGCGGCTTGCAAATCTCCACCAGGGCAAAACTCCATAACCAAGCAAGAGTAATGAGATGCATCAAACTGTGCATATAGAGTTGGTAACAATGGATGATCAAGCATACCCAAAATCTCTTTCTCCATTTCTGCTCTTTGAAGTTTTTTTCTTATGGCAAGAGCTTCCCTATCCACCACTTTCATGGAATATAAACACTGCTGTAAACCGTCAACAGGGTTTCTCATCTGACAAAGATACACATTTCCGATATCACCACCGCCTAGCCGGCGGATCAGTTTAAAGTGTTCCAGCCCTACTTGGCCTTTCTCACGGTGGAGGAACCTCATGGCTTCCCAAGCTGTTTGATTTGCCTTGTGTGGCTTGCTAGAAAAAGAGATGTCAGAGGAGGATGAAAGGGAGGCAGAGGTGGAATTCCGGTGGCTGCCGAAGCTGAGGCTGCTCAGCCAACTCCGGGTGGAATCTGGCACCGTGATGGAAGAGCAGCTGCTGCTTTCGTAGTAGTCGGAGTCCTCACGATCGCGGATTATGCTTGCCATGATTGTTGATCAGAGCACGTTTGAGCTTCTTTAGGCTTTAGTAGTGGCTCAGGCTTTGTACAAATGCAGCCTTTTGGTATTTGAACTAAATAGAAATTTGCATAAAGTTTTACTTTTGGTTAAAAGGAAGAAAACCCAATGTATTGCGGAAAGCAAGTTGGTTTTGTTATATAATTAAGATATGCCACTTTTATCACATGATTTCCCATTGTTGACGCTGCTAGTAATAAGCTACCTATGGATA